CAATATTTACCATTTTCAAATATACTTGAATTAAAACACCTGTTTCATGCTTTCAAACTCATAGAGCTAACATGTGCAGTAACCAAATATTCAATATTTTGCAAAAACACAAATTATGTAAGCCATTCACATGTCATGTAAGTCAATAAAAGTTTTGTATTTTTGTTATCTGCGCTTGTAGCACCTGTGTTTGGTTTCATGGGCTAACAAAAGACTACAAAGATTTAGTATCAGAATACATCAACAAACACAGCAGTTCTTCCCAGGTACTGTCGTGACGCTTTTGGGACGCCTTCAGTTTATCGATCGGTATGTAGACTATATGTGGCCCCAAAAGTCCGTTGACCTCGCCATTTGTCTCACACCAAGAGACGACCATGACATCTGTACCTGCCTTGCTGGCTCTGCTGTTGACAGCGACATCATGTAAGTATAATCAGCTATTCAACAAGTATGATTTATCTTGATTTCATGAGTGAGTTGGTTTAGTTTTGATTAACTGAACCCGGGATAGAATTGGAATTCAGTAAGTCGCGCTTGTAAGAGGCGACTAACGGGATCGGGTGGTCAGGCTCGCTGACTTGGTTGACAAATGTCATCGTATCCCAATTGCATAGATTGATGCTCTTGCTGTTGATCACTGGATTGTCTGGTCCAGACTCGAGTATTTACTGACCGCCGCCATATTGCTGAGTGCGACGTTAAACAAAAACCAACCAACCAAAAGCATGTTGAGGGGAGTTCTGTTTTCCGTCGAATATACAATAAGTTAAAATATATGTACCTTATGACATACCTTCTTAAATGCTTCCTTTCATTCCAACGCCTACAGATGTTCACGCTCAGAATGCCTGCAGCGACAGTCTTGACGGACCGTGTCTGACTGAAATGAGATCCCTCTACGCCAGTACCTCAGCCTTCTGGTTTGGGACGAGGTACGCGACTGACTGCCCACCCGGCAAAGTGAGCTCCTTGTGTAGAAACACCACACCGTCCCTAAAATCCCTCCTCTCTCGAATTATGGGCGAGAATGCCACCGATACCAGCGGTCTAGGATTCGTCCCTAACGTCACGTACCATATTACTCTTCCAGGTTAGTGAAACTTCCACTATGACGTCTTTGTGAGATTTCAGAAAGAAAGAATTCAACTGTCAGGATCCGAATAAGTTCTTTTAAGAAAATGCTTTGTTTATGCAATTGTTATACTTTCTGGCATAGTAGATCAATTGAGGGTATTCAGATGTATTCTGGTTTCGTTTGATTCCAACAGTTACTTGACTTTAGGTAAAGGGCATTCTCTTCCCACTGAGGTTACTCAAGTCATATCTTCCCACGTAACCTCTTTTGTAATACGGCCCTTTCACGGTGCGAGTGTTCAGGGTTCGTGATTGGTTGCAATCAGAATTAGTTGTTCAATCAGCGACGTCGTTTCAAATGTGATCATTCGCAAAGCCTCGGTAATTTCCGAAAACTAGAACCTCTTTTTCCGGCGCGATGCGCAAACGTTTCTTCTAGACAGAACTCAGCCATGTAATTGATGATCAATGGCGTCTCCATCGCCCTCGTTGACAACGGACAAGCCAGCCATTAAATGTCTTGTGTGTTACATCAACATAAGTCATCGGCAGAGGAGGGATATTTGTGGCCCCACTTTCTATTGCTAGTTTCTGATTTTCAGTAAAACATGAAATACCAAATCTATCCTTCGCATATTGATTAACTAACTCCATGGCGGCTTAAGTCGATGTAACACGTGTTCCGATTGGATAGAAAGAAAGGGAGATAAATCGTGTTGCGATTTTTGCCACCAGGAGATTTTGGGTAATGTGGCCGTATCAAAACAGAGGTTACGTGGGAAGATTTAACTTGAGTAACCTCTGAGGGAAGAGAATACTCATAGGTAAAGGTGGGTATATTAAACTATCGAATGTTTCAGGTAGAATCAGACGGCCAGGTGCCATTATTGGGTGATACAGGGTTCTTTTCACGATGTGGTCAATGATATATTGTCCTTCACACATACATGTTTGTGTTTTGTCATAATTTCAGCTGATGGATCTGACCGTGAGTACATCCCTTCGGCCCATTTCCATCTTACACTCATTTATTTGTGTGTCTCACGAATGTTGATTATTTATCAACTAATTTATAATCACAAACGCGATATATAGGCAAGTATTATTTTTCTGATCTATGTGATGATATCTTAGAACCTGTTTTAAAAACATTTATATAAAACCTAATGTTTTGATATATCAAAATGAAAACGATCGATTTTGTTATCACATAATTTGAACGTGAAAATACCATTTTAGATACAAATCATTACTCTATAAATTATCACAATCTATAAAATTCAACAACCAACATCAGATCAGACAAAACCACCGTTGACGCGTTGTATTTAAGTGTATGACATTCGGTATGTGCATGACTTTGTTAAACACCAGGGATATACAACGGCTGTGGGAGGATAGTACAAGTGCCTTTGGACAGACCACAAGATTTCGTCATCGATCCTCTCGGTAACACTGTCTATCCCCCTTATGACCTCCGCGAGGAGCCGGAAGTGACGTGGCCAGCGGAGGAGAACGCTCTCTACACCGTCATGATGTTTGACCCCAACCCGTTCTACATGCATGCGTTATACGTCAACGTTCCCGGCGGCAGACTACAGAATGGAGACGTAGGTGACCTTCCTTTATACATGATAAATTGCTTGAGTGCTAGGCAAGAGATAGAATATATTGAAAAGAGAATGTAACCCAAATTTGCAAATTTTAGTTTGTTGAAAAGAGTCGCGGAAAAACAAACAACAACGCCAAACGTCAGGTCCAAAACGTAACTATGATACCAGTATCAAATTCATAGGTATTAGCTATCAAATGGCCATTTTATGATGGTGTCACATTATAGGTAATGAAAAACATGGGCGTATACTTTTTTCAGCCCGGCAGTAACTGAAAATTACTGAATGTATCATGAGAGATTTTAGCACGCTACAAATACTAATTCTGGGTTACAAATCTGTATGTATAACTACCCAGAATGCCCCAGATCAGTTTGACAAGCTTACCACAGCCCATTGAAAATTCGGTAACCAAAACCTCTTGAAAACGGTAAAGATTCTAACATCCTGTGTCTGTTATCGCTTGGTGACAGTAGCCTGGTCCATTGGACTCGATCGTACAAACAACAGTTTGCAATACTGCTGAAACAAATACATACTCATGATATCATCGACTATTTCGGCCTGATGGCCAACTTTAAAGACTAACTTTATAACCTGTACACATTTATATTCCTCGTTCCATACTATAATTACTTCCTTTGGGCTTGGAAACCTCGATGACCACCTTTAATGATCTAACTGTTAACCTATACATCATTTCTATGGAAATGCCCTCCCTCAATGGGACTACTGCCACTAACATCAAACTACTGCAACAAGTGCAGAACAGTGCTGCGAGGATGCTGACTGGTACCAAGAGAACTGACCATATCACCCATGTCCTGAAATCACTCCACTGGCTACCCGTAGAGCACCGCATCACTTTCAAGACTCTTTCTCTCACATATTCAGCACTAAATGATGAAAACTCCCCAACTTATATTAAGGACATGTTACATCGCTACCAACCCACAAGAGCTTTAAGATCAGCGGATGATAAACTACTTCATATTCCTAAAACTAAAACAAAGATTGGCGAAGTGGGTCTTGTGTTTTGCAGCTCCAAAACCTGTGGAATGCCCTACCACTGGAAATCAGAAATTGTGAAACAAAAGACTCTTTTCTAACTCATCTGAAGACATATCATTTTTCCGCTCACTTCAACAAGCGCCGTTGAGCAGTCATGTCCAATCTGGAAACCAGGCGCTATACAAATCAATTATCATTCATTCATTCATTCATTCATTCCAGACTATACTTCCTTACGCTGGGCCTGGAAACCCTGTGGACCGGAACAACCCTTACGTTTGGCTCGTGTTTAAGCAGCAGACATCACTTGACCCATCACGGGTACCCAACAGCCGACGCCCAGTCTACGTGCAGGATCTGGTGTCGCAGCTGGGTCTCTCAAGTAAGAACTAGTTTGATGAATTTCCTGTTTAATTCAACTTTATATATTGGCATTTCAAAGTCACATACCATGTTTATTGCGGCTGCTTGTACCACACTTTCATCTCGTTAACTGATAACCGAAAATGGGTGGATATATAGTTAAATTGATTTTAACATAATTTTGTGAAACTGAGTTTATAACGAAACTTTTTTAGAACGTGAGCTGTAAGTAAATTTATTAGTCTGATGCAATTACATTACATTTTGCCTTTTCACTTCACAAAACAGATGCTGGTTTCAAAAATGTATTTTGCTATTTTGTGAATTAACAATTGTGTTCTAAAATTAACTACGTTTATAAAAGGAAATCAATACTTATTCATGTGTTAATGAAATGTCCTTTATATGCAGCGGTAATTACATATTGAACCCAAATAAACAAAAAATTTTGTACATCTTCTAAATACTAAGAACCGTGAATATAATACCCGTCTAGCAATTTTTGTAAAACAAAATCAAGGTAATGCTCTCTGTAAAATTTAATCTAAGTTGTCATTTTGTACTCATTACCCTAGGCCACATCTAAAATAGACCTGTTGTCCGTCTGTCTGTCTGTCTGTAAAAGCGCATATTAAATTGAACAAATTGAACAATACTTATTTCTGTTTGGGAATTCCAGTTCAAAACGGAGAAGGAGTACAAATACATTGGCAAAATGTATAAAAGCAGGATAATAGAAAAATAGAGTTGTGGTAAGATTATCAACCCAACCAACCAAAGAGATTTTCCCTTTGAAAATGGAACACTGTTTCGAAGTGACCAACACTGCCACAAAACACGGACAGTCTATTTAACACCAACATTGAGGCCGATAAAGGCTAACACTTTGTTTATTCTTGCAGCCCAGTCATAGCGGCATCAGCGTGATTCTAACTTCAACAGATGAGTACACTGCGGCCTTCATCCGGTCTGTTAATTTTATGAACAGATGTCCAGTCTATTATGGACAATGTAAGTTGTGCAAAATTCTATTTGTAAATAGTTTCCTGTGCCCTCTCAATGGATCACTGTAAATTGGATTTACTATCTCAGCTCCTTTAGGTGTATACAACCCATGCTGTCTGAAGGCACAAGAATGTCACCGAGGTGCCCATTGACTGTTGTACATATATATATCATTAATATAATAGCTGCCCTGAATATACGATACACACTCAAGACACTAACCACACTGTCTAGTTCTGTAGACTGTGAATAGGTAAGTCTATTCATGAAAGATTTCTAATGCAAAATAGATACCATGTAAACTGCTGTAGCACAGAATGGCACACATGCTTGGATACATCTACTGAAAAAATATAATAATCAGATCATACCAATGTATTTTCATCCAGGGTTGAGCAGCTACATTCAGAAAAAGGTGGGATTTCGTCACTTCCGGAGGCTCTTGACCTTAGTGTATCCGTTGACGTCACCTTCACGGCCCCCGCTATAACGTACAAATCGTGCGGAATGCTGTATGACAGAAGGTCGGTACTCATATGTTCCTCTAAATCGCAAAAAAATTCACAAAGTCACCTACAACATTCAAGTAAGTTTATTGTCATGTTCCCGCTACATGTTATGGCAAATAGTGCATCGAAAACGAAGGTTCTCTCAAGGCCCTGCTTTTAGCGTTCGCATCGTGCGGAATAGTCTATCGCAAAAGGGGCACTCTTGTCCCTGTTACAACATACATATCGTGCAAAACAGGATATATCTGAGAGTGGATACCCTCATGTTCCCGCTATAAAGCGCACATCCTGTTTACAGTTTATCACAGAAGGCGGGTACCCTCATTTTCACGCCCTTAACATATGTCATGCAGAATGGTGTCTAAAAGAAGGTGGCCTTTACCTCTGTGGTAAGATACAGTGCTTTTAGTGGCATTATATTTTCATGTATATTCTTGAGATCATGTGTACACAGAGAACAGCTTATTAACAAAAAGAATCCGTGGTGAGTATTTAACTTTCTTTATGGTTTATGCAATCTCAAAGTCATTCTTAATGGAATGGAGGTTGATGCCGAAAATTAATTTCTGTGTTCCAGCCCAGTAAACGTCACTGTAGATTATCGGAACATGGATCTATTGAGTCGTGGAGACTCGAAACTCCCCACAAGTCAAACTGGTCCCCCTGCAGATTGGAGATCAACTCCCCTCAGGTGAGTAAACTCCCCAGACCACCAATTCGTGGTTGGTGAGCAGGGCGGATACAGCTTTTGAAAAGGGAGGGTGCACACTTCATTTTCACCAGAGTTTCAATGGTCATTTAATAAACTTTCAGGACAAAAGGGTGGGGTGGGGTGCGCACCCTGCAACACCCCCTGGATCCGCCTATGGTGAGGGTGTGTGGTCTTAAACTAAGTCGATGGCTTAAGAGATCGAACAAAAATCAGTGTAAAGAAATGACCCCAAAATTGGATTTGACGAATCTAAAACGTTATGAAAACATTGAAAGATAAACTACGCAGTGGAAACTCGAGGCTCTGAAAATCAGCTATGATATCCGTGTCGCTATCGAATAACCGTTTCTTCACGAACGTGTTCTTAATCAAACATTTATGATGATTGTTCTAAGTATATTAAAAATATACAGTTCAAAGTGATGCTTTTTGTGGTCAGACAAGAAATACACCCTGATGATGCTCGACCTGACCCCTGAACTGGGAAAGACCAAACAGAACTCCATTATCCACTGGATGGTCGTCAACATCCGGGGAGCTGACATCACTTCCGGTGACGAGGTGTATAACTGGCAAATGCCCATGACATCAAGGATGAATCAGCTCTACCTGTTTGCTTTGTTCGAGCAGAAGAAACGTGTCAGCACCAAGAGGGCGAAGACTTACGGTGGATCCAACTGTCCTACTTTCATCAAATCCCGGTACTATCAAATATGCGCATCTTACCTTCATGTAAAATACATTAATTCTTTATTGGTCAATGACGCTGTAACAAGTTTCCGTGTCACCCTTCCCAGGAGGGTGACAACTGGAAAAAATATTACCCGCTGCCACGGTAACCGCCAAGCTCTCCACCGAGAAGCTGAAGCGCTAAGACGTCTAGCTGTGCTCGGAGTTCGAAAACCGTTCGATCAGGCTGTTTTGTGTTCACTTTGTACAGATTTATTTTACCGACTTTCACTGCTTTATTGAAGCTGTTTTGTATATTGAGTGGTTTGCACACTGAACCTAAACATAATTAACCCTTTTTATAGCAGTTTTAAGCCTGTCAGAATATGTTTAACTGATTTTACAAATCCAGTCTAGAAGCAGGTGCCATTTTGTTTACATGACATATAGTCGGTCGCGATCTTTAACGTGATATAAAATAATGTTTGGTACATTTAACATGGCGGTAAGATAAATACGTTGTATGCTTCTCCCTCGGGTATTACGGTCTGATGTACACCTTTTGTAGTTGTGACATCCCTCGCCTACCGGCTCGGGTGACACTGCTATACAAAGAGGCGTACATCAGACAGGCATACCTACTGTGGGATAATGCCATAAGTACACCGGATTTGTGTATACTACTGGGCAGTACGTCGTGGTGAGAATCAATGCCTTGCATTAAATGAGCACAGCATCAATAGAACTGAAAACAGACTTGGTGTCAAACGCAGATCTTTGAAGGGTGACACAAACTTCTCAGACACTCTGTGTAATTCTGAAATAGGACCAAGTGAGACAAATAAAGGCATGAAGCACAACACATTGTCTACAGGCTACTTGTACGACAAAAACCCTTTTATACTCTTCGTCCTACTGCAGTTATAATCCCCAATGTCAATCTGAAACGATTTCTGCATTTGGAAAGATATGTTGAAATCCAAGTGTTTCCTTCCTATTACTCCTCCATCCATAACATTTGTTTTTACAAAAAACATTCTTACAAAATGCAAATGTTATGCTTTATGAGACCTGTGCTGAATATGTGTTGTTATGTCGTTTGGCATGAGAGAATGGGTTCATGTACATTTTAAGTCGGTCTGTATTTCAGCCACATAGTGCATACAACACGTTATACATTCATAATACATAAATCAAACTATATACATCATGTCGTCAAAAGAAACTAAAGTGTCTTAAGCTTTAACAGATTTAAATTAAATACTACTACGAACCATAAAATATGTGACTATTCTTAATACAAAAATGGGTCATAGGTCACCAATAACCAAAGTAAGGCCACCATGCTATGACCATGGGAGTGTACGGTACATCCGTTTTCTGCATGATACTCTGACAGGATTAACAACACTCCTCTGGGTGCTGCAATTTGTTTAGAAAGTTTAAGTAATAACAATAATAATTATTCTACGGTAGAGCCACGAACAATCTTTGCCGATATTTCAGTGTACTAAATTTTCCAATCACTATTTGATACCTGTGTTTAGAAACAAAATAAATGCTATTTTTTTAAACAATAACAATAGCACCAACCATAATTAAATGTACAGTTATAGCAACCTTGATAGTGTTATCTTTCATGATGGACCAAGCACTTTTGAACGTGATATCTCATTAAAAGGTGCACAGAGTGGGTGAACCTCACATTATACAAACGAAAAATTCCGACATGAAATCAGAGTGAGTGAGTTACTTTAGTTTTACGCCGCTTTTAGTAATATTCCACAAATATCGCGACATGTGAGGAATCGAACCCGGGTCTTCAGCATGACGAGCCGACGCTGTAAGCGCTAGGCTTCCCCAACACCCCTTTCAGGTTTGAGCCACCTGTGGCTTTGCTTGGCAATCAACTCTACATGTTTCAAATCTGCTTGGCCTCTAAAAGTTATTTAGAGGGTCAAATAGTCAACCGATTTGTGATTCGTTTAGAACTGATAGTGGATTTCTTTTCTGCAGTTTCTGTTGTTTGCTTCGTCGCAATGGGCCTAGTTTTCTTTTAGAGAGGTTCCTGTCCAAGAATGATACTGTTGTTAGCCTTGTGATCTGTTGCATAATTTGGGTTAGTGGCATTTCGATTATGCAGGCCTCTCTGCTGACTAAAACCGATCGCTGTTGATACATGACATAATGCTCAGGAAAGCACTCGCCATACTGTCAAAGAAAAGAATGCAGGCTGTCAGGTCTTTTCTGTGTTGAAGTGACATACATGTAATTGCTTTCCTATTTTCCGCCGGTGTGCCTGTTGAGATTATCTTCCCAGTGCTTGAACCACTGGAAGACTTGTCTCTTTCCATAGAGCCTAAATGGCTCTATGTGTAGGATATAATATGACTCGTGGGCATTATTGAAAAGTAAGCCCGCTTCCCAAGGAAGAGGGCTTACTTTTCAATAATGTCCACGGGTCATGTTATATCCAACTTATAAACCGCCCGAAGATATACTTTAGATATAACTTCAATATTTGGTATTTACTGTTGAAATCAACTGGGATGAGACTGGCAGCCGACGCCTCGCAATGCACGTGCTCTGCACGCTCTATCCGTGCCCTGCACGTGCGTTGCCCGCACAACCCGTCTAGCGAGGAACACACGGTTCATACTGACAAACAATCTCATTTCTTCACAGCGATCCTTCGCAGCCTAGTGGATAAAACCGCCAAGCTAGTAAGCGAAGGGTTGCGGGTTCGAAACCGGGTGTCGGCACTACATGTTGGAAATTGTCAGTTATGTCATATTTAAGATCGCATTCAGTCATGGCCAGACAAAGTCGTATAACTATTCAAAACAAGTAATAATTGAAAGTAAAAATATCCCCAGGCAGAGGGACGTTATTAAGATAATGCCCTGGACACAGGGACGTTATTTAGATAATTGCCCGAGGAAGCGAGATTTTTATCAGATTTGAGGGATATTACGAGATAAAGTTTCCCCTAAGAACAACAGAGTGACGTCACTGTTGGTTTATAATTTGCATTACTCCTCATGTCCCTTATGAAGCCTTGTAGAGAAAGAAGAGTCCGAACAGATCCTTGTCGAGAATTCCTTCAGCAAGGCGATTGCGCATCTTCTGCGACCAATTAAGGTAACTATGATCCCTGGAGATCTTTTTGTGAAACTACAGTACGTTCCACTTGTCCCAGATTGGAAAACCAGACGGTAATTCTAAACAGCGCACTTGGTTGTGATATTTTCGCACTTTAAGGATGCTGTTACCCCCCGATTTTCTTCAAAAGATGTGAAATCAGATTTAAAGATGATGTTACGGATTTTCTTCAAACAGTGTGAAATATCGCTATGAAATGTAACTTTCTGTGAGGATTGGTTTCAGAAGTTGGGACAGTTTGTCCATGTCAGCATTCATTCTCATTCAATGGGGCGGTGGGGTAGCCTAGTGGTTAAAGCGTTGGCTCGTCACGCCGAAGACCCGGGTTCGACTCCCCACATGGGTGCAATGTGTGAAGCCCATTTCTGGTGTCCCCCGCCGTGATGTTGTTGGAATATTGCTAAAAGCGGCGTAAAACCAAACTCAGTCAGTCAGTCAGTCATTCTCATTCAAGCCCATTTGCACCTGCTCCATCCATACTTATATATACTCTCCCAAAATGAAACGCATATAGGAATTTCAACTGTATTATTATGTTTATTTTGAAACATCTTGTAGGCTTTATGAAATTGCACATTGGGAATGCAGACTGATCCTTCTTTGGCACCAACTCGAGGAAAGTCAGTTTGAGTGTCACATGGAGACGTGTGGTGGCGCTGAAGTCAATACCTCGTGTGACCACCGTGGGCATCCTGAACTGCACGGTATCGCCTCGGCATCGAACGAATAAGTCTCCGAATCTCGTGTTGCCCAATCGCAGCCAACTCTGCCTGTAGTGCCTGTGCGAGTTGCTGAAGTGTATGGGGCTGAAGGTTACGGCGTCTCACCCGTCTGTCCAGGGCATCCCACAGATGTTCGATCGGGTTTAAGTCCGGGGATCTTGAGGGCCAGGGGACCACATTGATGTTGTGGTTCTGGAGGAAGTCTCTAGTGTGACGTGCTGTGAAAGGGTTTTCGACTGCCGATAATGTGTTTATTATGAATATAGTTTTAGAAATATTAAAATTATCTAAGAGTAAACTTTATTGTGCATTTATAGATTTCACTAAAGCCTTTGACACCGTATGGCGCGCAGGGCTGTGGTATAAAATGCTACGATATGGTATCAATGGCAAATTCTTAACGCTCGTTAGAAATATGTATCATAATATAAAATCAACTGTTATCACTGGCTATGAAATGTCTCCCTTCTTTCAATGTAGAAAAGGTGTTAGGCAGGGTGAAAACTTATCACCACTACTATTTTCTATTTTTATAAATGATCTTGAATCTTTCTTATTAAGAAATGGATGTACAGGTGTGAACTTTGAAAATGCAAACGAGGATGACATTTACCTTTGGTTACATTTGATTTTCTTATTATATGCCGACGACGCTCTCATTTTCAGTGAATCACCTAAGGAACTTCAGAAATCATTAAATAACTTTCAGGAATACTGTTTCAAATGGAAACTTAAAGTTAATCTATCTAAAACTAAGATTGTCATATTCGGAGGTGGGCCCTCGAAAACAGTCAATTCAAAATTTTCATTTTCGCTGGGGGGCAGTAAAATTGAAATAGTAGATACATATACCTATCTTGGCGTAAGGTTCCATAGAAATGGTAGGTTCTTGACAGGTATTAAAGCGCTAGTAGAAAATGCAACTAAAGCTATGTTTGCCCTTTTGAAAAAAGCCCGAAATTTAAACCTACCTATTGATTGCACCCTAAAAGCATTTGATACTATGATAAGTCCGATTCTCCTTCATGGATGTGAAGTATGGGGATTTGAAAACCTGAACATTATAGAAAAAGTACATCTCAGATTTGTTAAATTTGCTGTTGGCCTTCGAAGCTCCACTCCAAACTTTATGGTGTATGGCGAG